GCTAGCTTGCCCTGCGCTCAGTGAATCTGCGTTTGACTACTCTGCCTAGGCTGCACTGTCGAGCGCAGATCCACTGAGCGCTCAACACAGACAGCACCGTCAGAAGAAAAGTTGATAAAATAAATTAAAAATTTTGTATTATTCGATACATATGCGTACTGAACCGAAAGCACTGTATCGAACGGTTCAATATCGATACGAGTATTGTTGCACCCCTAGTGAATATGTATTACACTTGTGGGGAGGCTCAAGTCAATGATGAAGGGTGCACAAAGCAATCATGCACCTGACCTAGTTCAAGTGACATGCTTGAATCATGTTTCTGTTGGTGGCAAGAAGGAGCTCTTATATAACAGCTGGATATAAAATCGTGTAAGAGTCATACCAAACATCATGAATAACGGGGTGTTGTTTCTGAGCTGCATGGTGGAAATGTCTCCTGGCACCGGTCCTAAGATAGCACCTCAGCAGAACACACACAGGGGCAGGCATACGCACATTTATGACCTCTCACCTCTTTGCTATGAATACATCATCTCTATATGTTTATTTTCCCGAGAGCATGTGTGTTCAGCTAGTTGTTTGTCTGTTTTGCAACAGGACATGGGGCAAGAAGTTGAGCCATATTTTCAGGAAGTGTTGGCGTCGCTAGAGCAGAGCTTGGAGGAGGGCGTCAGAGGGGAGGGGGGAGTGCTGAGGAGCCGTCTTCTCCAGCTGTACAACGAGATTCTTGCCAATGCAGACTCAGGTAGGATTTCTCTGAAAGCAAATGCAGAGCTGTGCCAGACCACATTTCTGTTGGGCAAGGATCGTCTGTCTGAGTCATACATGAACTTACAGGTTTAGGTAGACATGAAAGAAAGTGGAAGAAGTTCAAGAACCACAGTCACATCAAGAGGCAGAAGCCAAATGGAAAATGAAAAATCAGGAAGTGATAACATCTGGTGTACCTGCTCTCTTGATATTAATTGATAAAACATAGTCATTACAGTCTCCATGAAGTAGAAAGAAGGTGCACATGCATAATTTATAGTCTTTATAGTCCTAACTACCCTTATTTAACCATCTTAAGCATGGCATCTGCTGACCTGTTGGGCATTCAGGGCTTCCATTTTTCAGCTTGCAGTCAGGGGAGTATTGAAATGCTAATGCCCTTGTTTTTTTTTACTAAAGTAATCTGTGAGTACTCTTTACATTCAGATCAAAAATGCCTGCAGTGTCACATTTAAAAAAGTATTGTGGTTGGGAAAAGTAGACCTTTGCAAGTTTCTAGGGCTTTGTTGGGTTGTAATTATAGCAGGAGAATCAACAAAAATGAACGAGTGTAGAAATTATGTTGTTGCAAACTGTATGACAGAAGCTCTTCATTTGGTGTGTCCAAAGCATCTCAACATAAAAAGGGCTAAATCTCAGTCTAACCAAGCTGTGAACTGTAAACCAGTCAGTGTATTTTCAAGCATTATCTCTGATAGACATGTTTTATATAACCATGTGGCCTGGATTCATTGCCTGTTGCTAAGATCAAACACGACCTTCTGTTTAGCTGTTTCCCCGATGGCCAATGTGTAAAGTCAGCTGTATGTATTATTAGTATTTCCGGGTATACATTTTCATGACACTCTTTTCCCTGCTGTTATCACATCAGTTTATCTGATGAATCTGCCCTGGCTTCATCACAGCTGGAACACTGAAGGATAGACAGGGGTGTTTACACAGAGGAAGTTGTAGAGTTAGCGAGTGCTTTTTTTAATACTCATTGTGACTTTTTTGGTCTCTTCCTCTCTCTGCTTTCCGCTGTGTGTGTTGCAGAACCATTGTCTGGTGGACCACTATGTGACTGCCCTCTTCCTAACCCAGAGATGAGCTTCCACCTGTGGACAGCGGATCTGGATATTTGTGAGTGTCTCTTAATGCTGGCGGGATTCTAGAGGATGTTGTTGCAAACAGTAAGCTGAGATGAATTAGGCCGAGACTTGGGTGATACACCAAAAATAAAAAATCCATCATCTGACTTAGAACTTAAATGACCAAAAAAAAGGGGAAAAAATATGTTTTTATATCTTTGCTGAATTGCTTCCTTGTTTGATACTAGAAACATGATGCCAAGTTTTGTTTTGTTCCATGAATCTACCTTTTGTCCTTTCTCGCAACAGTAATAATTAAAAATTCAGTCCAAATCAAAGTTTATTGAGAAAGAGAAGCTTTTGTAAATAGTTAGTGCAGATATGATTTCATTCAGTTACCAAATAACACTTTTTAATATACCTGAAACCAGTAAAGTCAAACTACAAGAGTCAGTCTGACACTGAACATTAATTAACGTTGATTTCACTTATCAGAGATTAACACACTTAATGCAACAACATCATTTAAGCCCATATTGAACTGAATCAGCCCTCAGAGTGACTATAGCTGAAGCGAGTGTACGTTTATTGAAATTGTAAATGATTTTTAAATTAAAACTAAATGTGTACACTGCAGTCTGGCACAATAGAGAATACTCCTCCGAGCACAACTAAGTACTCCTACTGAAAAAAATTACATGTACAGTCTCTAACAAAAGATTCACACATAATTGGGAAACTAGTTTGTTGAAGATGTGATGTAAAGCAGCATCTGAAGTAGTCATGTGATTGTATAGACAAAAGTATGACAACTGTCAGTAAGTAATGCGGTAAGACCAGATGTGACATTTATTGAAAGGACTCACATACTGTGGCTCAGTGTATATGAATCTACATGAGTAACATTACCTGTATTGCATGTGCATAACAAATGTTCACACTGTTGACAGGGCGAGAGCTGGCCAAGTGGCTTCGATCCAGTTCCATGTCAGAACAGTTCTCCATCATTGAAGAGCAGGAGGACCCCGAGTTGGGTGAATCGCCCATTGACATGATGCCATGTGACATGACGCGCTTTTCCATTATGTCCAACGACAGCGGTATTGAAAGGGACCTGCCGCCCAGCACTGAGCCGTCCCAACTGCCATCTTTGGATGCCGTCAACATGACTGGACCATGGGAACAATCCAAAAAGTAAATCTAATCATTTCTATTTTATCATAATAACAAGTTTCATTGTAGTTTGCATGGTTTAATATGCAGGTTTTGTACTGTAGCATAGTGCAAAACTGCGGTCTGTTTTCCAAAGCATGCTTTTGAGCCACAGTATTTCATGTAAATTGCCCCCAAAGTCATGTGAAATAAAGTTGTACTTAAAGGTCCTCATCAACAGCATGCATACTGTAGGAAGCGTTCATACAATGATTTAATGCTCATACCTTCTTGTTCCAGTGAGCAAGACTCAATAAAACTGTTGAGGCGTGGAGGCATCAAAATGAAACCAAGCATAAAAGACAGTATGGTGCTGATACAGGAAAATATGGAGGACCAGGCAAGCCTCACAGGAGCAGGAGGAAGTGGAGGGAAGGGAGGAAGAAGAGGGATGACTTTGCAGAGAAGAGCAGGAAGCAGTGTGATGCACAACCCCTTCTCCAAGCAGCAGAGACAACTTACTGCCAGGATAGTCATCATGGGGACTGATAGGGTGCTGGGCCGCCTAGCTAAAGCCTATTACTTCTTCAGGTGAGGGACTACTCACATCACACAATGAATACAGTTTTTGATGACGATGCATTGACCAATTTTGCTTTGGCGCTTTTAGTATTCTAGGTTCTTATGTGGCCAAATATATAGCTTTTATTTGTTTGCTACTGCAAACTGTGACACCTCATTTATGATTTCTGCTACTTTATTACGCTATACTGTAGTCGCTTTCGAGACAGAAACCAACAGAGCAAATTTAGCAGTGTCTAAACAGATGCAGCTGGGAACTGTCTCTTGTGGTTTAAATCTACATGTAGCTACATAGGTTTTCTTTCTCATGACTTTACTGGTCAGTGTTTGTTTGCGTTTTTTTCTCACTAGATTAAGTACGCAGTACCTGGCATGTCTTTTTACAGAGAAAAATGAAAGTAAGCATGAGAAGCTCAGATTGTTCAAATAGAGGATATAAGCAAACTGTATTTCTGTGTAATGTTAAATGTGTTTGTTGTAGTATAACAATGACCGCTCTTTCTATTTTAGGGAACATATTTTAACTGTGTGACAGTTGTGCAGGTACATTAACTGAAAAATGAAATAAAATGATGTCATAACAGCAATAGGAAGCTACAGTAGGAGGAAAATCGTTACATCAAATCGTGAATTACAATTTGTGTTCACAGTTACTTAGTTTACTTTATTACTGGTCTATGAATCAAGAGTACTTTTTCTATTGTAGGTATCTGGCTAAATGTTAAAATCCAATCATGCTCAACACACTTTAAACTCCTCATGAATCTCTGGTTTGCTTCTGCAGAAAAAGGGAAGCACGAAGGCTTTTTCTCACAATGAAAGTCGACCTCCAGTTTTACTACATCCCTGTTTGCAGTCCCAGGAGTCCCAGCTCCCCAGTCAAAGTAAGGGAACTTCCTCTTTTCAGCACACCACTGATTATTTGGTAAATAACAAACCTCAAAAGATAACAAAACCGAATGGCTTCTGTTTAACCAGAAGATCAGTATGTGAAACTTTGTATTCACAAAGTTTAGTTTATTCTCTGCAGTAGTGGATTGGTGCTTTGATGTAATGAGCCACATTTAAGGTATTTATGGTTTCACTTCCATGTTCCTTGTTTGTAGGAAAACCACCAACAATCCAAGGGGGATTCCTGCACTCTTGGTTCCTATTTGAGCAACGTTGACCCATGGTACAACTGCAACATCAAGAGCTTGGGTAGAATGATTCCCAACCTGGCTAAAATGGTACGATAAAACATATTTAAAAGCAGGGTTTTGTTAGATACTTAAAATGTATAACTAAATGAGAGTGGAGAATTACTGTAGACAGTGGCAGTGTGTGTGTTGGAGTGCTTGAGGTAAAGCACAGGAAATTGCATTGCATAACATACTGTGAGGAAAATAAATATGTTGATTTCACTGAAACCACAAGTGAAGTAAGCTTATATCAAAGATTTCTTGACACTGATCTGTAAACTCAAACAGGAAATAGAAGACTTCTGAAACTGGAAAATGAACAGTGATATACATGCATGTAAACTACTGTTACAGTTCATTGTTTGAATCGAGTTTCGCATTTGAAAAACGAAGAAGTTTCTTCGTTGTAGAAACATTTCAGTATACTCTAGCAAAGTATTGCCTTCTTTCTTTTCCTCATACTTAGATTTAATTTATATGTAAAATAAAGTTTTATATGCCATAGCTTTGGGTTCGTGTGGTGCATAAGAGTTCAAACTGAAACACAAACTCTGAAACTGTCAACTTAAAGAACAGTAGCTTTATCATAGTACCAAAATTAACAAGCGCTGTTGCATTTCCTGCCTTTCGTGGACTATTTAGTGACATCTATTTCAGATACAGTTGATGAGCAATCAAAATGACTATGCAGTTACAACATTGTGCAGTCAGGTTAATTTTACAGGTCTTTTGTTTTCTATAGCAACAAGCAAGCAACGAGAGGCAAAAAGAGCCCTTCATCTCTGATATAATTTCCTATTATGTCCGTACTGGTCAGCAGCCGGTCTACTTCGCTATCTACTTTGTTAAGGTAACATTACATATTTTCTTTGTGGTCTTTTTTTTTTCTTCTTTTCTTCTGTGAAAACAAAATTTATTCAACACAATGCATGTGAGCATTGTCAGTGTCTTTTTTCAAATATAAACAAATTTTTTAAACGTTGTGTCATTTCCATTAGATCTCATTCAACATCATGACGAAGGAGCCAGTGGAGGAAGTGTTTCTTACCCATCTGGACATGGATTTCCCTGAATTCAGGCATATCGCTGCGTCAGTTAGAGGTAAATTGTTCTTAGAAGTGTTTTTCCCAGTATTCTATGCTTTACTGTAATTGTGCACAGTCAAGTTTAACCACATTCCTCTAACCAACAAGGAGATAAACACAGGAAGAGCTCGGGGGAGGTATGCGGAGCTATGGTCTCAATGAATTACAGAAAGGTAAATTTCATTTTTTTTCAGGGGAACCCCCTGTTTCCTTCTTGGATTGCTATTAGTGCTAGTTTAGCCAAACTTCTTAACAGTTACCAGAAGATGTGCTGAAAAATTTCCCACTCCTGATTCTGTAGTTTGTGTTGATGCATTTGTGTGAATACATAGCCACTCATTCTCACTTGTTTGTGTCGTGGTTCTGTATGAGTGCAGGTGACATTAAGTGGCCGTGACATCGATGAAGGGATTTCGGTCAGGATGACGGGTGCTCGGATCAATGCCATTCCTTCCAATGAAGCAGAAGGTGCAGAATTTTCTCAATGAGTCATGCTTTCAATAGTTTTGTCAATACTTTTTTAAGTTCTGTGTTTTCTTATCCTTTATGTCGTAGATCTAAACTGTCTGACACTGATGATGAACGAAACCTCCGTAAAGACGAAAAACAACACTGTGGTGAGTTGACCAGATACCACAAGCATATATATATATATATATATATATATATATATATATATATATCTATATATCTATATATCTATATATCTATATGTCTATATATATATATATATATGCAAATATTTTTTAACAAAGTACATTATTTTGCAGGAGCCGCCAAAGTTTCGAACCAGCAACATTAAAATTCGCACTTTGGAGAGACGTTCTTTCACTGTTACACTGGACGGAGATGATTCCAGGACCTACAGAAATGTGCAGAGGTAAAAGAGTGTAGTCTAAGTTGTATTGTCAGTGTATTTTGCTTGGTGTCTCATTGGTAAAGGGAAAAAAATGTGTGATGCTACATTGCTAACAACTACAACAGTACTAGTTGGTAAAAGAGAGCTGCAGTTGGTTCAGGAGCTAATTAGTTTCCACGCAGTCCAAACTGATCTCCATGTTAAATATGTTTTTGTTTTAGCATCGAGGTCTTGCCCTGTGTGGATCCAGGATACTGCGTCCAGAAAACAATGAGGTCTAAATACAAGTTGGAAGAGGATAAAGATGCTGGACTGAGCAAGTACATGAACAAAGGACTTCCTCTGCCAATTAATACATTTGCTGGCATCATCAACTGATGTGATGAAGTGACCCCACAGAGACACTTTTAGTAGTTGTGGCAGTGGCAATGACCTTTCTCTCTTTTAAACATCTAATCCTGCGAATGAATAGAAATCACCTCTGAGTCATGATGAGCTGCTTCCGAAACTAGAGTTTACTCCGTCAATCTGAAATGACTGGCACATTGACTGGCAGTACTAGTGTCAACTTTTGCAGTTAATGAAATAACCTGTAGGCTGCTTTTATAGTCACAGGACAACATTTGTTTTTACTGCAGGTTATGATTAAACCTGATGGTGTTCATTCCTTTTGAATATCCTGCTGTGCCAGCTGGAATAATTCCAGAGTACAATGTTGTCTCTGACAGTGGAGAGATCAGCAACAAGCAAAAGCACATAGCTGATGAGTATTTGGATCAACAGTCATGTGGCATAATAAAAACTCGGCAATCTGGAAATTTGGCTTCAAAAAGCTATCACTTAGTGGAGCAGATTTGATTTTGTAACAGTTGCTCTACTTCATAGACACTACCGTTTACTGCTTCTTTGACACACACACACAAACACACACACACAGTATACACACAAGAATGCTGACAAACATGACCTGTCACCTACTGAAATATTCAAATAATTGAAAAGCTGGTACGATGACAGCTGTCGCTCCCTCTTGCTTTTGTCCTGACACAATCTTTCAAATACCTTTTTATCCATATACGTGTTACATAATGTAAGCTGTTTATAGGGTGCTACTGTTTACTGTAGTTTTTGGTTTAGTGTTTGGGAACTTTTTAGAATTCTAGACTCACACTGTAAAAACTAAAAGAATGTCAGATATTACTACAAAAAAAACAGCACGCGCAGCTACTGTCTACCAAACAGAAGTGACAGATTACAGTTTGCCTTCCTTGTAATGTATGTGACAAACAGCTAAACAGTGGTCAGTAAATGTCTCCAGTCTACTGAAGTGTGAAAATTACCCCTAAGCCCAATCCACGTACTGCACTGTGTTAGATGAAGTAGATAAGTTGCACTAAAACTGCATAATTGTTGGTCAATTTATTTTAGGAAAAACTTTGTGTGAGATGTACAACATGTTACTATGTAATTGTAATTACTGTATATGTCATAATTGTAGAAACATCCGTGTGACATACAGTCATCATATGATATGCTCTGAGTTCTAGATGTATGGATGTTTGAGATCTGACACTTCAGATGTTGATGCAAAAAGATTGTGTGGCTATAGGTGTGAGTCTGGGGGGCAAAGGTCTCAAACTCAGGAAATGGAAATGATGCGTTACTAGGTATGTGGCAAAAAAAAAAATCAAGTGTGTGTATGTGTGTCAAATAGCATTGCTGGGTAAAATCACAAGTTTGAAAATCATGATATATTTTGCACATTATTTTCTTATATATCATATATTAAGTATGGTTCCAAATGTAATTGTGTAAATAACTGCGATTGTGTAAAATAAATTTAGTTTTTTTTAACTTGGAGTCTTGGATTCTTATAACAACCACGGGGGATTTACAGTGTTATGTGCATAGATTGTTGGTCAAAGTCGGCCAGATTTAATTCAAGGGATTATACAAAAAGTTTGCATTAACTGAAATTACAGTCATTTTTATACTTTATTTTCAGAGGTTCAAAATTAATCGACAAGCAGTTTCATGGCCACCTGAGACGTCTTCCCTTGCTTTATTGTGAAGCAGTCATTCAAAAAATGCTTTTCACTGTAATTTTTCAATATCAGTTCCAAAGAGAACCTTTGGGAAAGCGAAGATTGTCGCCACTAAAGCTGAAAAAAAGCTGCAATGACCTGCTCAGCAACACCAAACAGCCTGAAAGACCACAAAAGGCAGCTGAAATGATGAATTATTTCCATGGTTAAGAAAAAAGACTTCATAACATCTAAAAAAAACTCAAGACAAGGAGAAGGTAGGTGTATCATCATCATCATCATCATTACAGTCAAGAGACACCTTCATTCACGAATGAATGCCTTCATGGAAATAAACAACAGGGTTCACAACAAGGTGAAAACCACTAATCATACCCAAGAACAGGAAGACCAAATGAGAATTTAGCAGAAGACATAACATAAGCATAACTGATTTTTGGAATTAATGACCAGGAAATAAATAAAGAAATAAAAATGATCCATGCACTTGAAAGTATGTTTGCTTGTCCAATTAATTCTGAGCCTCTGAAAATGGAGAACTATTTATGGAAATTGTTGTAATTCCTAAAACATTTAATTCAGTCTGAAAGTCTGGGCTTCGATCACATATTGATTGTTTCAATGATAAACTCACTGTGATGGTGAGCAGAGGCAGACAAATTGTGGCTCCAATTGTAATTGAAACCATGTGCCACCAGATGACGCTATTTATTTGCTATCAAATCCGCGTTTGCGTTGACCAGGTAGTAACACTAGCAGGCTGCAAACGCGCACACGCACACACGCGCACACCGTCACCTGTCGGAGCGGGTGGAGATCACTGGAGCATCTCGCTGTCTCTGCCTCAGCAGGTTGTTGACTGACTGGCGATGACTTAATGAAGCACAACAACTGCGAGACCCTCCCCTGTAGCTGTCTTTGCTGTTCCCCAGCCTCTGCGATTGGAAGCACAGAGAATAGAGGAGCAGCTGTTGGACCGATGGATAAGAAGCATCAGTACGGTTCACTGGAGCGCACTGAATGGAGCAGAGACACCCACAAAGCAGGTTATCTAGTAAACAATTGCTGGCTTATAATTACTTTTCGATAATGTCAGTCACGTTTAAATGACGTCTTAAGTGTGTATGTGTTTTGAGTTCACTGCAGTATTACTAAATTCTGTGCATTCTGGTTTTAGTGTGAAATGTTCTCATTAGCATTGCATTGCTACAAATAGTGTCTCCTGTCTTAACTGTTTGGTGAACTTGTGGTGACCTCATTAGCTTTGTACACACACACAAAAGGAAAACAACAGATTTAATGTAATAATTTAATGTATCGAGCATATTAACAAACAGCATTGTCTTTGAATATATTTATATCGTTTGGCGCTTATTAGCATACGTTCCTCGTTTGACAAACATGCATTATGTAAAGTTTATTTCTTGTGTTTATACAACTATGTAATCTAAATATATGGGTAAATTTGTAAAACACACAATAATAGGCCCTAACAATTAATTGGGAGCATTTTCAGCACTGATAGATCAGATCAATGTATTTATCCAGTAGCAGAACAAGCTGCAGCTCAGAAAATGTCAAGAATCCACAGGTGTCTATTGAGTGGCAGTGTGTGTGTGTGTGCCTGTTTGTTTCCTTGCTTGATTAAAAGTAAGGTGAGGTTACTTAGAGACCAGCTATTCAAATAAGGAATAATAGCCCACATGTGGGTCTTGGCAGGATGCCGGCATCATCTATTAGTAACTAAAAAGATAACTCATTTACGCCTCTTTATGACATTAATTCAATTAGACAGATTACATTTTCTCAACAAAATGCCCAGCAACTTGATTTGTCTGAATAACAGTCTAGTACTCAAATAATGAGTGAAAAAAAGGCAAGTGAACATTTATTTTCAAGGAAAGTGACTTTAACTGTTAATTAGCAGCATTTCTGTTTGTTTTTTTTTATTGTAATATCTTTTTTTATTGCAGACTCTCTGTTAAGCCCTCTATGTTTTTCCTCTACACTAAATGATTTTCCCACCTCTCTCTCCTCTGTGTTTGCCTTGGGGTCTCTAATCAGGCTGATCTGTCTGTCAGTATGATGGTTTGCCTCATTAGGCATAGAACGTATCAGGGCAGTGTAAGAGAGAAAGTTGGAGTCAAAGAAAAGAGTAAAACTGAGCTCGTAATTTAATTCACATCTTTAGGGGTTTAGATGAAAAGAAGGGCAGGGCAGAGTAGGAGAGATACACAGTGAGGCGAAGCAAAGGCAGATGAGAAACACTAACAGTGAGAGTGAGAGAACGGAGAGAAGGTGTAAAGGAAGTCTAGTGATGAGTCATAACTGCTCAGTGGCAAAATTACTTGTCTTAGAGAGCCTTTGCAGCAGAGCATATTGTGTCTAATGATATAATTCAAAGTGCATTTAACTTGTTAACAACCCATGTAATAATAGATCTGACCCCAGGATACAATACAGTGTTAAAAACAGATGGGAAAATCCCTATTCATAGTGACAGAGAAATTTCCATGGTTGAGGAAAAAAGACTTCACAACATTTAACCAAGTCAAGAGGTGGACGTACCATTGTAAAGGCCCACGATCACAAATGGAAATACAGAGGGTTTACAACGAGGTGCACACCACTGCTTATATATGAGAACAGGAAGACCAAATTAGGTTTTGTCAGGAAAAAATGTAAAAGACACTGTGCAGTTCTGAAAAGAAGTCATTTTTTGCACTATAATGATGCAAAGAGAAAAGTATGCAGAAGCAGAAAAACATCTTTGATCCAAAGTATACCACATCATCTGTCAAACACGGTGGAGGCAGTGTTATGGCTTGGGCTTGTAACGCCAGTGGGACCAGGTTACGAGTGTTTTTTGATGATGTGACTCCTGACAGAAGTAACAGGATGATTTCTGAAGTGTACAGGGCTATACTCTCTGCTCAGATTTGGCCAAATGCTGCTAAACTAATTGGACACACTTCACAGTGCAAATGGATAATGACCAAAAGCACACTACAAAAGCAACCCAAGAGTTTTTCACGACATCAGGACACATTATAGTGTTTAACCCAGATAGGAAAATCCATAATTGTGCGAGCGAGTTTTTGAGTAAGCATACATGTAGTGAATTGTCTGTAATATTTATCTTCAAAGTGGCTGCGATGTCTTTTTGTGACAAGTCAGTTTTATTTTTGTAGCTTATTTTAAAATAATGTCAGCTGACCTAAGTGCTGTACTGTATTCATACATCACTACATCAACAGTAAATATACACTAAAAATGATCAAATAAAGCAAATAAGGCTGTGTTAATACAAGTCAGAGTGCCCTGTTCAACTAGAACTGAAAGAGAGTGAGAATAAGTAGGTTTAAAACACCGTTTGAAAATGACTGAGAGACTGGAAAGCTCTCAAGGTAGGAGTATAGATTTCTGAAAGTTCAGCAGAGTATTGAACGTTAAAACATTGCATTTCATTTATGTAAAACCCAGGTGACCAGCTGATTAAATACTTTGCTGTGTCTTGTTAGCGACTATTTTGTTTTTCTTTCACTTGCCTCTATGCCATAATAACACACTTTTTAATCCCCATATCTAAACCTTATATATCCCATCTAAGAACCAAAACTGAACACTTACCTACACCTAACTGAACTAAACCCCAAAAACTAAGTGTGAAGTCCTCCGATCATGCCACAATAAAGCTTTCTAACTTAAAGCTAATGGCCTCGCTAAATGTTTGGAAAAATGCACACACTGCTGTGACCATGTCAAAAAGATGAAAAAACAGGTTGAGCACTTAACATAAGTCTGATCCATTTTTTTACAATCCAGTGTCATCTTTTTACTGGAAACATTTCATGTCTGTAATTTTGATAACAAGAAGAGCACAGTTGGCACAGCAGTTAAAGAGACTGAAACAGATTGCTTTAGTTAAACACTGATTTCCCTGCGCTTCAAGTGTTAGCTATAAGCTGAGCTAATTGCCTCCTGGCTCCATAGACAGTCATTAGAGTAGTTCCTATTCTCTATAGTTGGAAATAAAGTGAGAAAGCACACTGGCTCAAAGGTCAAAATGATTTTTTTTTTAAATCTGATGACACAAATTTCTAGTTTTTACAGTTTTAAAGTAAGACAGTAGAACCAAATTGCTGAGAAATAATGATTATATGGAAACACAAAAGACCAGAGGCATGGGGAACCAATTATCACCATGTCTTTTTTTTTTTGCTCATGGAAAGCTTCCCATTTCTATTGTCAACTAGAAGTAATATTTTGAAGATTAAGGTTATACACTGTTTTATAAAAATCTTTTTTGGGAGGGGAGGATTCCTCGTGTAATTAAAGTATTAGAAAGAAATGTAATGTTGATGTCTTTCAAATAAATATTCCCATTAACAGTTTATGTTCATGTCAGTCAATGTTCTCTGTTCTAAAGCGTCAGGGTTGTGTCACACAGATGTCTCTTATGCAGCAAAAAACAAGCTAATCTTTCATAGCAATGTGAGTCCATGTAAACCTGCAGTTATCATGAAGTATGGTTAATGCTTTTACCCTGAAGTCACCCTGGAGTTTGAATTTCTATTCTGCTTTTTTGTCAGGCTAGTGCAGAATAAGTGTTTTCACTGCACTTTGAACCTAGACAGCTCTGCTCCACCCCAGGGCTAATTGAGGCTTGAATAGAGATTCCATAATAAAGGTCCACTGAGTAATGGTGTGTATATAGAAAGACTTTAATGACCTCAGGAGGAAACAGGGACAGACTGTCAGAAGTGGTATCTCCCTGGCTGTGTTCCTCTCAGCCCATAATGTAAGGCT